AAAAAAAAAAAGACGCTGATGCAGTGTGAATATGAAAGAGTCACTCAAGGTGCATCAGATCTGACATCAAAACTCTTGTTTTGGAGTATCGAGAGACCAAAGGTCCATTATTAGCGCTCAGAGTAGTTTCAGTATTGGGCGATTTCAGCACTAGTGCTCCAGCGCTAAAAAGTGCGCGTGAAAGGGTTCTAGCGCTTTCGCTTTTCAGCAAGGTACGGTGGAATTCTGAACGATTTTCCTCTCACAACATCAGTTTATTTGAAAGACAAGAACAGTACTGTAAACGTACATAACTGAAACTGAACTCCATCTGTTTTTCGCGTAGAGGTGCTAGGATCGATTCCACCGTTATTTTGGAATATCTCCAGAATGTTTTTACTCAGTGCAATTTGTCACGGACAAACACCGCATAAGTTTCCTTTGATCGCACCATTTAGTGCAGTGAGAGACCGATAATTGCGATAATAACTCAGTACATCACAGTACACACGAACGAATCAAAGAGTAACATTTTTGCATTTCAAGAGGGAAACGCTTAGAATGGTTAGCACTTACATTTGTAAATCCGCGAACCATTTTTGAAAACACAACGGTAAACGAAAGAATGATCAGGTGCGAAGTAATCGTCGTCTATGGTGGCGTTCCTTAGCTCGTCTTCGTTGACCTAGAACAAATATTTTTGTACTTACAAATGGCATTTGTACACGGTAGAAATTTTATAAGCTTTTCAATGTTCTCTGCTTGCAATAGTAAGCCTTTCTTAGTCACCTGACAAAAATCTAGGTCTTGTAAGGCAAAATTGTAGGAATATGCATAACTTCTACAGTGAATATTCTTGAGGTGTTGGAGTATTGAAAATGATTGAACGATAATTTAGCGATCATAATGTAAAAGGTGCAGTGGCAAACTCCGCCCCCTTTAGCGTTAGACCCCTTCGATGTGCTTGAGGTACCACATCTGCAGATCTGCACATTTTATTAGATCCTGGGAAATAGATATGTTTGAAAACTTTTTTCTGGTCTAACAGAGATAACAATAAGTGCTTCCCTCATTTCCCGTCAAGTACTCAATCCAGAAGCAATGAGATTGAGTCAGTACTATTCACTCTACCATATAATCTTGAACCAGATCGATGAATGAATCCGATTTCTGCATACCTCTAGAACCATCCTGTTTACCGGATCGGTCAAGAGATCGAGGGTCTTGAAATTGATGCCTTGTTCAGCAATCAATGGATCGACTATCAGCCAGCTCAACTCCTCGATGAATCCTAGACTCTTAATATGAGTGATTGTGATACTAATAGCCTAACTTGCAATTTTAACAAACCTGTGGCTAATTCGAGCGGCAAAATCACGAAAATACAGCAGATGTTGAAAACGTCCCCAAGAGTGGCGGCCGCAAATGCACGTCGAAATCTAAGGGTAAAAGTTGTAAAGTCAGAAAAGCAGTTACTTGTACACGGACTCAATGAGCAAATTAACTTACTGTTCAGGCTCTCCCGAGTAGGCCAACGAGACGATGGCATTGACAAGGGTGCCGCCCAGTTCTGACCCAATCATCACCGGTATGGCTTCATGTACGGTAAGCACTGAAAATCAAAGTATTGAAGAAGATTCAGTGGGTTTAGTATCTTGTCAAATGCTAAATGTCTTTGCTGAACTTTCGAGGTTTCTTTAAGAACCGCTGATGAGGAACCACGGAAGCTGCACTGACAGTATATTTCTTATCGTTATACCCGAAACCGAGCAGTACAAGGTTTATACAAAATGCGTTGAAACCCTCTTGTGCTTTTCCAGTTCCTAATCTGCTGAATGCGTAATATCCTACAGAAGAGTAGTGATAGTGTGGTTTACTTTTGTATGCTTCCATATGCATAATTAGCTATAAACTGAGGAGATAAATGCCTATAATTTTTGTAAAAGTCCGCTATAAGGTGGAAAAGAAACAACAACTAGACTTGACCAGCGTAGTACTTTTTTACTTTGTGATGCAGTTCAAAAAGTAGGGTTGGTAGCAGGAAGAAAGAGAAATTCAGATTCTGACCGTGTGCTTATCACAATTTCTAAAAGTAGAAAAACGAATTTTGAATAATGTAGAGGTTACTAAATTCTCATAGTTTTTCGAAGAAAGCGAACTAGAATAATTGACAGTCTGTCTAATGAAGATAATCGATTATCAAAAAGTATGAAAATAGGCTTACTGTCAGCTGCGATCATGCCCACCAGGACATTTGTGGTCGTCGTGGCGCTCTGCAGCACCACAGTGGCTAACATGCCCACCACTACGGCAGATATAGGATCATTTATAAGTGGCGACGCTTTGATAGCTTTTCCTGAAATCAACTGGAATCAGGAAGATTTATGGAAACTTAATCCACACTCACTTTTCAGTTCTTCGGTAAATATTTTTTGCGCTTCAACCAAGAGTCGAGCGTGATTACTATTATTTTCTACCAGTAATTAGGCTATTAGGTTGCCCCTTAAGTGACTGTCTTTTCATAATCAAACTTTCAAACTAAACTTCTCAAGAACTAGGGCACCTACAGGGTTGCAAATTTGCGGCACTATTCATAACTATGTAATCACATGCTTGCAAGACACAGTTCGCTACAGGCGAATTCTGAATTCTAGCACATTATTTTTTCTGTCTTCAGTCATCAGAAAAATGCAAATTTACATATAAATATATCTGATAGGGGGAGTAGATGTGTGAGCGAGTAAGAAATTCGCGGAATTTTCAAAATGAAAAGAAAAATGAAAATGAAATACGATTATTTTCGGTTTTTTAGGGCATTCGGAATAGATTTGTTTCGCCCTGAATATGGGATCAAGCTTGGTGAGAACTTTTCAGCGACGTCTTGTCGAACTTGCTTTGATCTGTGAAGGTACCATCTTATTGGTATTAACAAGAACTAATATGCCGATGACAAATCATATGCGAAAAGAAATATCGGATTATTTATTTATTTATTTATTTGATAGATTATGGTAACATCAGCTTAAATGTGACCACTATAGCAAATTACTTCTATGATAGTATTTATACCACTTCCCGATAGAATCACGCCTATCATCTTTGGATTCGGTGCATCGCCTTTTATGTTGCTTCCTGTCTAAACTGATTCCATCAAAATGGATTCATGCGCAAACAAAAAATGATTTTTTTCTATGATTTTTCGGCATGGGAAAAAGGTAGGAGAAAAAAAGCAAATAGTACTTCCTGTTCTCGTAATGCTCTTCCTGAGAATGGATGTGTGTACGACAAGATTCCTCTTCACAAAAGCATTAATAAAGGATAAAGGGTTCAGTGTCTTCAATACCTTCTGCGGGCATGCCCGAACGCACGCTACTTCATAGTTGAAGAGGCAATGGTATGCGTGCGAGCCACATGACTTGCGGGGGCCAGCCGTTTACCAAGTCAGTGCTTT